CATTTTTAGGTACTGAAATCTTGAAAAGTAAAACGTGTAGAACAAAAGTAAGCACAAAAATAAAATCCTTGATGTTTTATTTATTCATTGTTACCATTTAAATTTACCCAAATAAAATAATAACTAAAAAAAAGCGTTTGTAAAACATGCGTTTTCTGTTTATCCTAACCCCACATTTTAAGAATTATTTTCACGTAATTATAAATAAAAGTAAACAATTTTATATGTAGAACTAAGGAAGTAAATGTTATAAGAATATTTACATGTGGAGTTATATATAAAAAAGTTAGTATTTTCGTAGATTTCAGTACCTAAAACCTTGATGGTTTGATCGTTTTTTACACCTGTTTATTCGTTTTACTGAGGCGTCTTTGAAAATACTCAGGTGGCATGATATAACTATTATTTGATAAACTTTAGATTATTCAGTTATTAAATGTTTGAAATTATTTGTCTTTGCGGAAAACACTATTTAAAGGCCCTTAAGGAAGGCTCTTATCGAGTATAATTTTGAAACATTTTTACTAAATATCAACACAAGACAAATTAATAGAAGAATTAGTGCAGGTTTAAACAGATTATGAAATAAAACTCAAAAGATACATTTATTTATTTATTTATTAAAATATACACTATACCATAACAGTTTCACCAAAGCACTAGCGCAACACAAAACAAAATGAGAAATTGAGAATATTTTTTAGGTTAGCTCGGTTTGGCTTTTTACCGCTCGGCGCTCACCGTTCTTGGTTCCTTTCAACCAATCAAAACCCGTAAAGTAAACGCATGCGTATGAATACGCTGGTACGTCGCCCCACTTTTCGGCTTCAAGTCAATTGCAAAATGATCAGTATAGGATAGAAGTATGTGCTTGAGACTCTCAAAAAACGTAAAATTTAATATGTACGTACGACCAGCGTGCCTTCAAACAGAAAGACACATCCCCTACGACTTAGCCATAGCCTCAGGTTGGGGGGCTGTTTCGTACGTGGGTGAACGGAGCAACGAATTGCTTCAAGTAGTGGTTGAATTCTACAGCGTGGATAAATGCAACCACACGTACAAACGGTTTATTTCACCCACTGGTAGATTGCAAGATGGCATCGTCGACGATCTGATAATTTGCGCCGGGAGCACTAAAGCAGTAAGGACGATATGTCAGGTGGGATGCCACCTTTTATTTAATTAGATATAAGACTGCTGAAGAAGTAGGTAATTATTACTATACAGGGTGTTGCATCACGAGAGGGACATGGCTTAATGGGAGATAGAGGACATCTAGGGTAACTAGGATCGCCTATAGAAATAGCTCCTTGGCCATTCTTTACTGAGATACAGGATGATTTATGATTTTTGGTCAAAACTGCTTTATGTCATAACTTTGGTAGTGAATGGAATAATAGGTTCATATTTGGTAGGGTTATTGCACTCACGATACTTCATGTGTGCATGTATGACAGCAAAAAAAATCCAGGTCCGGAATGCAAAAATTGTTAATTTTTTGTGCAAGTCTATAAAACAACACTGTGTATGTATTTTTTTTGAAATTCCGATACGATATTCGGAAAGAGCATAAAAAAATTATCTTAAAGACGTGTTTCCTTTTTTTGTTACACTTTGGTGGTTATTTAAATAAGCTATTGAATATACGAGACTAAGGCTTCTAAAACTAAATTACGTAAAGGACACATGATAAAAATTGTTTTACAACTAAAATTAGCGAAGGCTTAATTGAGGGTAAATGTTATAAATAAGCAAGCATATTTTAAACTTTATTTTCTTTAAATAATATGTATTCCAGGTCCGGACTGCAAAATTTTAATTTTTTTTGTAACTCTAGAAAACATCGTCCCGTATGTATTTTTATGGTATTCCCATACGATTATCGAAAAGAACAAAAGAATGTACCTTCCAACCGGATGGTCGAGTCAACTGCCATAATTTCCGCTACTGGAGTGATGAAAATCCAGGCATTTTCATGAAACTCAAACGAATATCTACCCGATGATTGTGGAAGTATTGGAAAATGACAACGCTTTGCCAGGAGAGCATGTGTGATTTCAGCAAGATGATGCTCTACCACATTATGCCGTAGCTGTGCGTGATTTTCTTAATCAGAACTTTTCAAATTACTGGATAGGCCGTAGAGGTTCAATTGAGTGGCCTCCCAGATCGCCAGATCTAACGCCCTTAGACTTTTTCCTATGGGGACACTTAAAGTCGAAAATTTATGTAACACGACTGCACTCACTTGAGGAGCTTCGTCGGCGAAATGTTTACGCCCGAAATATTCGTTCGAAAGTGGAGCAAATATTTTATTATTGTATGGAAGCGGGGGATTTGATCATTTAATAAAATAACATTCTTGTCTTATTCTTTAAGTGTGATTTTATTGTCATATTCAAACCAAAATTTAAAGACGTATGTCGTCGTGAGCAAAATTTAAAGTTTAAGTGTATTTTACGCCCCTGTCTAAGGGGTAGCTGCCAACCTCCCCCTCGAAGAGAAAATCGACGTCTCAGGTTTTTTGTTTTTTCTTTAATTCTGATATTTTCCAGGTGGGAAGTTTTAATTGGAACATCCTGTAAACACTAGGAAATATATTCTTGATGATCATATACCACAACCTTGAACTAAATAAAACTTCTTCCGACAAGAAAACCTTTATTTATATTAACAAATTTTATTTAATTCGAGATTATGCTATGTGAGCATCATTATATTTCATTGAATATATTATATTTTTTTCAAACAATGGATCTTTTTTCTGCGTGTAGAATCCAGCTCTACTGTTTGTGAAACAAAATATGAATTGATTTCAAATCCGAAAATTCCAGTATCTATGCTTTGGATATTTAGAAAAATCTAATTTTATTAACCACCAAAGTGTATTTCCGTATGAGACATGATGAAACAAAGTACCTCGAAATAAAAAACTTCTTGATTGTGCAAAATTATTTCAGTCTGCCAGGTTTACTTTGATTTGCTTGCTTTCTTATATTTCCACTAATTCTGTATGAGGTATCTAAATTACTATTAAGAAAATGTTCTCAAAGTAATATACCTACCCATTTTTAGAGAAACTTAAAATTAAACAAAACAAGTAGGTATCAATAAAAGTATTTTAAAGCTTTCTAGATATTTCGACATATTTAGCGATTTTTGAGATATTTTGAAATTTTGAGGCATCTAAAAGGAGCCAAAATGCTAAATTTTCAACTCACAGACGATTACCAAGAAATAATTCCCATTTAGTAGTCTAGGATTATTGACCTGTGACAACTGAGGTTGTTAGGTAGGTATATTTAACCTTTGGCCTTTGGAATTTTCATCTATTTTGAAGTTATTTAGTAGTATTTTGATGTATTACGTCAATAAGTCAGCAATCTTCACTTGATAAGGTTTTTACAAATATTTTTTTTTAATTTGTTTGAGTTAGCTTAATGAATTTAAAAAGGAATAAAAACATGTAATAGCTAGTAATAGAACATATGCTGAATTTATTTTACTGTATTTCAAAACGGGTTTGATTAACTTTTATGTAGTCTGTAATTTGTTGTGATCTAAAACTGTTTCGGTTAATTCAAATACATTCTGAAGCTGTTTCCATGTACTTTGACGTATTTTATGGAAGTGTTGATTGACATACTGAAGGATGCCGAGGCCTATTCGAGGAATTTTGATCGATTTTGAAGTTTCTGCAATTGTTACTATATACTCCACGGCCGTATTGAGATATTTGATTTCATCTTGAAGTAATTCTTACGTACTGGTGCCTCTTAGAGAGGTGAATCGAAATATTTGCTCAGATTCTGAAGCAAAAATTTCTTGAACTTACAGGTCTTTGGGACCTAACTCGTAAATATAAATGAGAAAATATTCTTAATCGATTCTCTTCTGTTAGGATTATCTTTTTTACTAGCAAAGCGCCCTTGTCCTATGCCTATTATGAAAATTTAAAATTCCAAGGCTCACTAGATTTTATGGACTTGAAATCAAGGCAGATTGTGTTTCACAAACAAACGGGACTGCAATTAGAAAGCCCAATTTTCCGTACCAACATTTTTTGGCTCTTACAAGCATAGTTTCGCCTATCTATAGAATTATCATGTGGTTTGATAACTAATAAATCTTTTTTAATTTCAGGGGGACGCTGGAGGTCCTCTTCAAGTATATCACGAGGAGACTGAAGAAATCAAATGTATGTACGACATCATCGGAGTGATTTCCTTTGGAATATCCTGCGGTTTGCTGAAAGACAATCCTGGGTTGTACACCAGAGTATCGAGTCACATAAAGTGGATAGAAGATACTGTTTGGCCGACCTAATAGTATACTTTTCTTTTTAATTTGATTTGTAAATATATGACAATGCAGTAAAGATTTTTATTTACAAAATACTAAAGTTTTTAAATTTACGACCCGATTATTTATAGCATTATCATTTATCATTATCATTTATAGCATTGTTAGATAAATATGGGTACTTTAATTATAATCCAGACTTCTGAATAGACTCACAACTGTGCAATATTTGAAGAATAAAACATTAATAAAAATACTGATTAGATTATAAATGGGATTTAGTATGATTTTTATATTTCCTGTTTCAAGTTTATCAGGGGAAGTGTGGTATACTATGTGTATTAATAAAATATTACCGTATTAGTTTTTTTCTTATTACACAACGAAAACCAAATCCCACAAGTCGGTTTGACAAACTAGTTTTCTGGAAGCAGTATGTCTGCTAGGGTTGATTACAACGTGCTTTTGTATGTTTTCGCACTCTCCTTCTGTGGTTCTTTTGCTGCTTTATATGAAGGTGAGTTATTAATTACAAGTAGTGAAAAATGTTTTTTTGTTTTATACAATAATGAATTCAGTAATTTTTCATGAAAGTTATTAATAACAGACGTGGAGGATGTGCCGCTAATAATGAATAAAAAGTGTTTGTTTACTTCCGGAAATCACTATGGTAATGCAAGGATCTATTGGTGGTTGGCAATAAAAATCTTTTATCAAAAATTTTATATTGTATAAATAAATTCTTGGCTTAGGTAATAATTACTATAGATTATTATTATTTTGTTAGTGAGAATGATCATAATAAGCATCAAGAAATTCTTTTACAGTACCTACGAACCACATCCCATCAAGCCAAACCCTGCTGTACAATGAGGTCTTTCTTTAAGAGTTAATTCAAAACATAACTTTTATGTTTTTTTTTATTAAACGTTGCTCCAGTAGTAATACTATCTACAACTGCTATAAGTTTTGTCTAAAGTTCGGTCTACACGTAATGTTTTGTTTATAAACGGCAGACAAGTCAGTACATGTAGACGTACGTCAGTCTAATAGGTCAGACACTGATCTATGTCTACACGTAAGTAACTGCGCCTATCCTAGGGTTACCGTAGTTTTTGGATACAGTGCAATTATTATCACTTGCGGAACAACTAACAATTTATTTTCACCCTTACTGGCCAATTTTTCCGGATCATACAAGACCGACGACAAAATATTACATGTAGATCGGACATTTTTATTAACGCGTGTGTGGAGTGAATTTTCTGATTCAGCAAAGTCCGACGATTTTATTCATTTAGTATTTTTATAATGTATTTTAAACCTTTTATCTATTAATTACTGCTATTACCTTTGACTAGATCTAACATTTTTATTATTCCGATTCATTAAAGTCACACCTGGAATTTTTATAAACATCCTGTATATTATGTAATAATACGTAGAAATTTATTTTCTTAATATTCTCTATATTTACCTTCAGGAGACAATTGTTCCTTGCAAAATGGCAGCGACGGCAAGTGCAAACTTCTAAAGGAATGTCCGACCGCTGTGCAACTGATAAAAGCAGGAGTTTTTCCGGCCATATGTGGATTCGTGGAAACTGAATCAATTGTATGTTGTAAAGATGTTAATAACTTTTTTCCTGATAAAATACTTTATCACCAAATTAGCCTGTTATTGTACTCATCATTTAAAGTAGACCTGTGTAGTTATTTCCGGGTTATCAAGGTTTGACACACGTCGAACCTCTACCAACTGGACAATATTAAAATATTAAAAATATATTTTCCAATATCAGTTACGATTATATCAGGATTTGGCAACTAATAGGTATATTTTTTAAATTAAAGGGAGGAGGCGTTGGTGGTTCCCTTCAGGTATACCACGAGGAAACTGAAGACGTCAAATGTTACATACATAAAATACATGCAATTTCGTAGATTAACTGTTAGATCCTCAAATAAATCCAGCAGGAAATCTAAATAAATGTTGCCATCAGGACGATTTCGTAATATAATCGGACCAAGCAGAAAGTTACTGATCAAACCAGTACACACGTTTATACTAAATTCACGCTGAAGTCTTTCCATAACGACATGGAGATTTTCATCTGTGAAACATGTTGGTTATGGAGATTTATTATCCTACATTTCGCAAAACACGATCTGTCCGTGGAAAGAATTTTGTTGTGAAAGTTATCTATAGCTCTGTATTGGCGAATAATCTGCAAGAATTGAAAACGAACTGCAGGATCAAGAGGTAGAACTGTTTCAACACGAAATGGATGAAACATGAGCTATTTCTCTATCTAGAAGGCCCGGACACAAAATGAAAAACAATGAATTTGGTCTTTCAAATTAAACAAAAAAGAAAAAAATTATAAATCATTAAAGATGACCCACATTCCGAATTTTGCTGCTGAAGATAGGGTAAAATTTGCATAAAATTTTTTGGCATTTTGCCATTCTCTGCTTTCAGGAACATTCATTTTTGAAACTAAGCGCACATAGAGACACTAATGTAGACTACTCTTGGGAAAATTTTTTATCGAAAAAACCGTTAAAAATCTTCTCTTTTCTCTTCTTCTATAACTCGTTTACATTTACGTGCCCATATTAGCTATTTACTGCAAGCATAGCCCGCGGCAAGCCAAAAAAGTACATTTTTGAAATATTAAAAAATATTAATTATTTTTCGAGATATATCGATTTTTTGAAAAAAAGGCGCTATCGAAAATTGGCTAGATCTTCTCAGCGGATAGCCCTACAGTAACGATTTTCGGTTTATTTTCTTCTTAAAGAGTTATANCACGGGCCGCCACTGATAGTGATTCTAAATCTAAATAAACAATAAACAAACAGTAAATAATTTGTTGTAGCTGTAACCTAAAACATAAATATTCTTTCATTTTGTATTATTTAGTAAATTAATTAATATGTCCAATCCTCAGGGGTCCTGCGAAGGAAGTAATGCTAGGTTTCACGAACAAGTCAGATCCCGCTCAGGTGCAAAAACGTACCGTTATTGAAACCATCCGTCATCCCGAATATAAAAACGGATACCACGACATTGGTCTCTTGAGACCACATACTTCTATCCTATACTGATCATTACCTATAGTTTCAATGGATGACCTTGTTTCCAAAAAGGGGGGGCGAGACGTACTCCGTGTGTTTTGCGCATGTTCCATAATTAGGCGCGGTTGCATTTAAATTTANCAAAAAATCGATATATCTCGAAAAATAATTAATATTTTTTAATTTTTCAAAAATGTACTTTTTTGGTTTGCCGCGGGCTATGCTTGCAGTAAATAGCAAATATGGGCACGTAAATGTAAACGAGTTATAGAAGAAGAGAAAAGAGAAGATTTTTAACGGTTTATTCGATATATCTCGAAAAGTAACAAAGCAATCGATACTGTCAAAAAATCAGTCGATAGATCTTTTTAAAACCTACAACTTTCTCATTTAAATATTTTTCAATCCGTGCTATATTTTTTAGTTATTTTAGAAAAACCGTTTTTTCCAACTTTGCGATTTTTTTTAACCTTGTTCGCCATATTGGATCGAGTTTAAAGAACAAGAAACTCAATTTAAAATTTAATTTTCTATACGGTCATATTTTTTTTGTCCAGGTAATAATTTCTGCAAATTTAACATTAATCCGTGACAGAATGCTTGGACTATATTTAGTATTTTCTAGACAAACACTAATGGCGAAATACTTCTGCGATTAAAAAATGTATTCAATTGAAACTCTTGACATAAATGCATTGTTCTGGTAATGTTATAATCAAATACCTATTTGTGCTCAACGTATGGCCATTATTTCAGAAACTGATTTTTTTTTGCTCAACTTTGGCACCGATTTGCAATTTAGGTTTGAATACAATCGCCTTTTTATTTGCACGACTGGATTTGGCACAAAAAGTTGTCCTAGTCAGCTAAATTTCATCTTTATTCGTTGATCCAACTGAAAAAACAAGCAAAGTTGAGGGATTTTGGAGAACATACGTGACCATTGCAAGATGGTCCTGTACACCAAAGCCCAAAGCCTATAACTTGTGAACAAAAGCACATTAGAGTCTATATTTTACCCAGTTCATACGGATCATAACGGCAGAAGAAAGGTGACGGCTGCGACACTGATAAAAAAGTTTAATCACCACAATGGATTGGCAAAGGGTGCCCACGTCCCAAGAAAGTACGTTAGTCTCGATCCAATGTCAAACTAATGCTCACCATTTTTTTATTTTAATATATATTGAATTCTTGCTTCAAGATGAAACAGTGATCTGAGTGTACTATCTCGGCGTTTGACAGAGGTTTAAAATTTATTTGTGAAATCATCGATCGATAGGAAAATTGAAAATTAAGGGTAAATGAATAACCATCTATTTTTACTGTATTTTAATTCCTGTAATTTTGTTCAGTGTAGCTGATCGATTTAATACTTTTGTTGGAAAAAGATGCAATAAACAAATTAGGTTTCAATATATCATATTCTTAAAATTCGTGTTGTAGTTTTCATTTCCTTAATATATTCATGTATTCAATCATTATCATTTTTTTGAAATAGTTCTCCTTATAAGATTATTAATAATATATTCCCAGATCTCTTCTTTTTATAATCACACAGAATAAACAAAATGGAACTCCCCAAGGTCTCTCTGCTATCGAGGCTATTACTGTACAAGTCGGCCCCACTAAGTTTAGTTTTCCGAGAGCAGCATGTCTATCAGGTTTGGCTACAGCGTGCTTCTATTTGCTTTCGTACCCTCCCTCGGTTTATTTGCCGCTGTATATGAAGGTGAGTAAGTCGTTGATGTATTGTGAACTACGATTCTTACAAAAATAATGGCTTTGTTTCTGCACTGCAATTTCTGATAGTTCTCAAATTGTTTTTATTACGCAGGCGCAATTGTGGTTTATTTGCTAACGGTTGTGGATTTTGCGCTGCAATAACGGTTGTTTAGTTTGCATGTGATATTTTACACGGAAGTTTGGAATAAGAAACAAATTGGTAACTGAGAGAAAATAGAGAGAATAGAGTTAACCTTAAATCTGTCACAGACCATACCCGTGTTCCATAATAATGGGCAGTGATCCGTATCCAGCTATCCAGCACTGAGAGAGTAAAGTAGGTGACGGGTACAGGGGACAAGATTCCATAGGCGTTGACCCCTTGTCAAAGAACAGAAAATTATAAAAGATAAGTTCACGGTGAATATTTACTTTAAAGGGCTTATAGACTCACTTGTTGAGTGCCGTCCTTTCGGACGGCGATGGCCCACCACCACCCACTTACACCTAACTGCCGCGGATATGACACTTTATCACTTATAATAATACACTGAACTATATACAGTACGCATCTAAAGTATGGAACAAATTCAGTAAAAACGAAACAATTTTTTTTGGGAAAAATCCTCGGACAGGTCGATTTTTAATTTGAAAAATACATATTTTAGCATAAAAGGCGATTTTCAACCGTCATTTGTTTTCGAGTAATGACGTCATCGATATTTTTTTTAAATAGCAACCCCCTATTTTTTTTCTTGATTCTGAAAGACCGTTTCATTGTCGATCCGACAGTATTGAAATGTTGCCATCTTGCATAGGAAACTTTTCGAGTAAATGACGATTGAATGTTAGAAAACCTAAATCAATTAAAATAAAGCAAAAACGTTATTATCGAAATGCCTAAAGTTTTTTATGGATTACGTAGGTGTAAATCTTTACAAAGTGTCACTGTTATACCGACTTTCTAAGTATTGTAAGCGTTCGAGGATATTTCCCCAAAAAATTTTATTGTCACCATGACCTTCATTTATCCATGTTTCGTCTGTGTAATATATAGTTTGCAAAAGCACCCTTCTAGATATTCCAGGCAAATTTTGATCATGTGAGATGGCGGTTTGAATTTTTTTATTGTGGGAAACTCATTTTTAAAATACCGTCCAGCTTGAATCCACTTTTAAGAACACAGACCTAAAATCACTAATAAATAATAAATTACAATCACAATTAAGTTAACGGAAAAATATCATCGGACTTCCTCCGCGCGTACGCCTATTTGCTTATGCCGACAGAATTACCCGGAACCGAATAAACGCAACCCAATTGACGTCACCATCAATCCAAATGCATTCCTACCGTACATAATTAGTAATAATAATAAAAAAAGACATGAACAACGTAACTGATACCTTTGCTCATCACTTAGCTAAGAATCCATACATTCAAAATTAAAGATGATCAAGCGGCCAATCCCAAATAGAACAAGTTATCCCCAGGATGTGCTATTCATGGCTTATGTCCTGGGACATTGACCGTATGGCGTCGATATTATTTTATCCCTCAAGTTGGTACCTACAATGTATTATCTTTCATCTGTATATCGTTTACTGCGCATGCAGTCTTTGCAGAAAAGTGAACGAACACAATAATGTTGGTCCATCCATAGCGTTGTTTTAGGTTTTATGATGTCATTTTTATATCCAGTGGTAGGGATTTTACTGAGAATGTTCGTTACTTCCGTTTATAACTAATACGCAATTAATTTCTCCTTTTAGGAAATAAAATTTTAAAGTTTTGTTTTTCTTTGCTTATAATTGATATGTTTAAAACCGATTGTTATCTCTTAACTTAGCCCACACGTTAAGTATCTCACGAAATTGAAAGGAAATTACAAGTCACATTTGATATAAAAATAACAATATGTCGCTCGGACATCGAGAGGGTATTTTTCATAATATTCAGACATTTTCAGAATGTCCTGAGGGTAGCATACAGTCTAAACCGCTTATTTCTGGGACGTACGAGTATATTCCATTGGATATCCTGAGGATAATCTTAACACAACTTTATGCTATTTGGGATATCAGACAATTTGGATTAGGTACCAAAATTTATGCGCATGTCTCGGATTGGAAGTTTGAAAATCCTACACAAATACCAAATTTCTAGTGAGTTTGTGATTTATTCTGCAACAGCGATAATTTCATAATGTACCGTGTTAGTCACTATAATCTGACAACTTATTATGAGTTTATTATTGAAATTACAAAAAAGTTTTTAATACAAAAGCGTAGCTTTTTTTTATGAATTTTTATAATACAGTATTAGAAAAAACAATTGATTAATGGAAATCACTAAATTAAGGAAAAACAATTTTTTTTAATGGAACACCCTATATATTAGTGCATCCTCAACTTCGACAAATTTTTCTCTTTTCAAAAATATATAACATGTTACTGTTAAAACTATTTTTGAAAGAACAAGAGGAAAAATTATGTCTGATGGATCGCAGTGGCTATGGACGAGACACGCGGAACAAACAAATTACTATGACAGAAGTTTATTTACCATAATTAATTTATTTCCTATAACAAACTATTTCAACAAAGAAATAATGTGTAACTTTAATGAGTCTTAACTTTAACAGAATTTTAATACCTAATTAATAAAAACCAACTAAAACACAAATGGTCACAGAGGTTCAATGAGACCGCCATTATTATTGATGTACTTCGTATAATCCTCATTAATTTTCAGAACTGTATTTAGTATGAAATAGGAATTAAATTCACTTAACTTTTGTATACATTGATCAACTTTATGTCTTATTTCATCTAAGTTTACACTAGTTTCCTTATAAACCTTGTTTTTAAGTAAAACCACAGAGAACTGTCCAAGGGTGTAAGGTTTGGGCTATTTGAAGGACATTGAATATTTCCTCCATTACCAATCCATAAATCAAACCTATCATTTAAATATTTCGTACTGCTCTGGTTCTATGCTCTTGGTGCCAAATTAAATTGGTACAGTCGATCAACGGCAGGTCTTCCAATTTGTTTTCTATCGTCAGACAAAAATAGTTTTAAACCGAAAAACAGTAACAGTAATATATATTTTTGAAACAAGAAAAATTTAACGAAGCTAAGTATGCATTAATATATAGGGTGCTCCATTAAAAAATATATTCTTTTCTTTAATTTATTGACTTCCATTATTCAATTGTTTTTTCTCATACTGTATTATAAAAATTCATAAAACTTTTGTGTTAAAAACGTTCTTGTAATTTTAATAATAAACTCACAACATTAGAGACTGCTGCAGAAACAAACTTAATGTATTAACAAGTTGCCGAAGGTATATTTATTTTTTTAATGTTTATTCTTCAGGAGACAAATGTGTTTTGAAAGATGGCAGCGAAGGCAAGTGCATACATATACAAGGATGTTCGACTGCTTTCGTGTTGTCACGGAAAGAACTTGCTTCGGTCATTTGTGGATTTGAGAATATTAACCTTTTTGTGTGTTGCCAAGAGTTAATGGATAGGACTAGTACCACCACTACAACAGATCGAAGTAACAGCAGCAGAACACCAGGAGACATAAGCAAACAAAGTAAAGTTTCAGTTCTAAGTCTGTTAAAAACACTTAAATTTTTGTTAAATGACAAGGCATTTATTTAATTTTCCTCATCTGCGTATAAAATACAAAATTGTTTTCAGAATGCGAAGAATACGCAGAGTATGCCTACGAAAAGATCTATTCTCCCACGCTATTGCTAAAACCGCAATTTACAAAAAAGCTTGTGTGTGATATTCAGAAAAACAAACTTTTTGAGGGAAGTATCTTAGCATCGGGAAGGGAATTTCCTCATATGGTAAGCAGGCTATTGTTGCTATTATTACTTTTTTGTCAATATGAATATGTTCATTATTACGCACAGTGTTGTCATTAATGATAAATCATTATCACTGCCTCTGTCCCATTACCATGCTACTATTTTATGAAAATGAGCGAAGTGAGAAGAATCCATGGCATGCTTGCAAAAGTCTGACTAGAAAAATTGGTGCTCATAACGCGGAACAGAAATGCTAATTTCCTCTGGTAGTTGTAGAAGAAACATGAAATTCAATTCTAGAAAGCAGACAAGTTAGTTTAAAGCTGATCAGTCAGTTTTCAGGAGTAATAGTAGGTGTTGCACAGAATACTAAGCTGAAATTGGTTTTTAGTTAATTGATGTTTATTAAAGTTAGAACAGATATTATTAAAAAGTTATAGAATTCTAATTAAAATACAATATGTTTTTACTCTTTTCCATTATTCGGTTGAATCAGTGCTAACCATATTAAATTAATCCAGAACAACATACAGGAGCAACAAAATTAAGCCGCGAATAAAAACAAACTATTATACGTTGTGAAGTAGGGTTCTGTATGAAAGCGCGTTTAGTTTTTCTATAATTCCAGTCTACTGTTTTTACGGAACTTCAGTTATCAATCTGCAAATGTCATCGGGTGAATAACTGTAGACTAATTTTATATCTTATATACAGGGTATCCCAAAATAACCTGTACGTACAATATACACATATTTGTGGACTCAAAATAGGCAGCCTTAGGCTAATTCACCTATATCCAAAATCGCTTCCACTTTAGCCGTTATACAGCCTCGAAATTCGTGAAAATTTGTTTAATTTTGTAAATAACTCGAATATGTATTATTCGATTTTGATTATTTTTGAGGTGTGGTCTTTTGCTTTGAATCTACACATGTTGGTGTTATACAGAGTGTCTTTTAAAACTTACAACCCCTACAAAATTGACGTATGGTGATAATATCCGTTCATAACTTTATCCTCTTTCGGGCAATAATGACAACTATTTTTTATTTGATAGGTGATACCATTTGGAAGTAGTTGTTGGGCCTCTTGTAGAATTTTGATTAAATGAGCGGTTTGGGTACAAAAAAATATATTTGGATGTATACATTATTTTGCCACACATTTTACAATACTTAACAAAGTGCTAGTAGGCTCTGATTTTGTAGGTTGACTGTAATTTCAGTTTGATCTTGTTTGGGATAACATTATTATTGGCCCTGTTATTCTACCCAATAGACTGAATGGGGAATTTTATTTAGAATTTTTGCAAAACTCGAGTTATTGGGAGATATGCCGTTATTACTCAAAGCTAACATGTGGCTTATGCGTGATGTCGCTCCACCACATTTCACTGTAAATGTCCGGCAGTATCTTAATCAAAGATTCCCTCGTCGGTGGATCGGTAGAGGCGATAATGCTCCTGTTAACTGGCCTGTATGTTCACCAGACTTAAGGATGGAAACTGATGCATTTCTGGTTGCCTAGATTATACCGAAAAATGGTAGAAAACAGCCCTTTCTTTATTCCAATATATCTTTTTAAAGCAATGGAAGAAAGTAGTAAAATTTCATATCACATTTGGCAAAGTATAAATGAAGACAGTAAAGCAAACATTAATTGGGATANAACGGTGGTTATTTTTAACAGTTTTTGTAACTTGTGCTAAATTTAATAACCTCAACTTTGTTACTTTTATCTCCAGCATGTTTTATTTTATTTGATTGTTTTTACGAATTATTTCAATAAAATTAGGCACGTTGTAAATAACTCTAATTCGTCGTACGTGTGTATCCATATCGAAAAATAAAGTAACATGTGGTATATTTTATCGTGGTAAACACTCATTAAGAATTAGCAGATACAATGACTCAAACTGAAATTAGTCAACCTACAAAAACAAAATATTTTTTTGTACCCAAACCGCTCATTTAATCAAAATTCTATGAAAAAAACTTCCAAATGATATCACCTACCAAATAAAAAAATAGTTGTCATTATTTCCCGAAAGAGAAAAAAGTTATGAACGAATATTATGACCAGAATTTGTAGATTAAAAGCAAAAGTCCACACCCCAAAAACAATCAAAATCGATTAATACATATTCGAGTTATTTACAAAATTCAAAAAATGTTCACGAACTTTGAGGCCCTTTAGCGGCCAAACGAAACTATTTTGGATATAGGTGAATGAGCCTAAATCTGCCTATTTCGAGTCCACAAATTTGTGGTCTTCCGTTGTACATGTTATTCTGAGACATCCTGTATAATGTTGCATTTATAAGCAATTGCCTTATATTATAAGTTTTACATGTTGCTACACAACAGTTAACTTCCGCTAAGTCCTTCTATGATTTCTGTTTTGTAGATACATATAGCAGTTAATAAAAGAATTACGATACGATACAAAATGTGCAAACGTATAAAGTAATAATAACGGACTATCACAATCCACGAGTGTTGTACCCCGTATAATCTATTTTTTGATGATAATGATCATAATAATAAATGTTATGAAGCTTCCGTATCGCATAGAGATAAAAATAATACTAGAGTCAGCTTTTTAAATGAATATATAAACTCTTTGCAAATCTTAACAGTTCAGTTGTAATATTGTCACGAAGTAAATAAAGCTTGTTCTTACAAACATCATACTTCGAGTTAATTATTTAATAATTAATTTCACAAGTAAAACTCACGTTTGAGTGGTCGATATTTCGGTTGAAAGTGATTATTATAGTGAACCCCTGTTGTGCTATACTTTCCGATTTATCTGCGTATTTATTTCCAAGGTACCTATAACTGGTTTTTACGGTGTTTTGTTATTCTACAATTTACAAGACGTCGATACATAAACAAAAGAGAACAGCGTCTACAGAAGAATTGTTATAATAATAATTTTTATTTTTAGGTTGTTGTTGGCTTTGAACTTGCGGAGGATCACAATTATCTTAAATGTGGAGGTTCACTTATAAGTGAAAACTTTGTCCTCACCGCTGCACATTGCATGGTTCCATTATCAAAGTAAGTTCAAAATTTGTGTATATGTATTACTTGTCCCTTTCATTGAACTTTTTTAGTCTCTTAAATAACTCAGCCACACAAAAAAGTATCGGATCTGGTATTCAGACCCATGTAATTTCCATGTATTTTTTCCGCTGAATCCGAATCTGCCTTCAGATTTGGCCCAACGGGTCTGAGTTTTCGGGAAAATTCAAAAAAACAGGTCAAAATTCACAAAAAACGTCATTTACGATCGACGAAAGTTATAAAAAATCAAATTATTCTACCAGCTCACTAGACGTATGATTTTTCACTCGTTTAATTCCAATTTATCATTATAGAGTCAGACAAACCGGTCCAATATCATTCAAAAACAGAAAATAGATCAAAATGCTTAAAAACTCCTTTTTCTTGGCATAATTCGTGTTGCAGAGTTCTGGATCTATCTTTTTATCCACTCATCCATTTATGAATTCATACATCTTTCTGTCTAGTAGTTCATGCATGAATACGCATATTTATTCATCCACATATAAAACCCACCCATCCACCCATCTATCCATCTACTTTTTGTACTGAGAGATGAGATAGCAGCCTAGAAGATTGAGAATGCAATAATAACTTGTAAAATACTCTATTTTCTAAACAAAAGAAAACGATATCTATAAATCATTCTTATTTTTGTTGCTATAATGTGTTCTCTATGCAAAGGGTTATGCTTTCGTTTAGTCCCTCTATTTTTCGTTTCTCCTTTTAACAACCAACCAAAATCGGCATGATGTTGTGATCCCATCTTCTTTGATATCGCTGTTCTATAACCTTCATACCCTCATGAGATCGCCCGCCTTGTTCTTCGCTATAATCTCTAAGATTTTCAGGAAACCAATCCAGATGTGAATGAAGGAAGTGCAACTTGTAGTCCATCAAACATCCCAGGTCTTGGATGTCTTTTATCATTTTTGATACAATTTCTTCGTATTTAGAACTTTTGTTGTTTCCTAAAAAATTGCTACAACTTTGAAACTAGTCCAAGCACTCTTCTCAATGCTACTCATTGTAGTGATGAATGTTGCATCATTGAACAATGTCCAAATCTGAGGTCTATCGAATACACCTTCTTTCAATTTCGCCTCAGAAATATTCGGAAACTTTCGCCCTTTATATATTATATTGGGCGAAAACTTGTTGGTTGTTAAAAAGAGAAACGGAAAATAGAGGGACTAAACGAAAGCGTAACCCTTTGCATAGATCCTTTGAAGAAAACAATATACAAAACAATATAAACATAGCAACAAAAATAAAAATTATTTATACATATCGTTTTCGTTTCTTTATAGTAGAGTATTCTACAAGTTTTATTGCATTCTCTAGGCTGTCTCTCAGCACAAAAAGTAGATGGATAGATGGGTGGATGGGTGGGTTTTATAGGTGGTACAGGTGGATGAATAAATATGCGTATACATGCATGAACGACTGGATAGAAAGATGATGTATGAATTCATAAATGGGTGGGTGGATAAAAAGATGGATCCAGAACTCTGCAACACGAATTATGCCATGAAAATGGCGTTTTAATCATTTTGATCTATTTTCTGCTTTTGAATGAAATTGGACCAGCTTGTCTGGCTCTATGATGATAAATTGGAATTAAACGAGTGAAAAAATCATACGTCTAGTGAGCTGGTAGAGTAATTTGATTTTTATAACTTTCGTCGATCGTAAATGTCGTTTTTTTGTGAATTTTGACCTGTTTTTTTTTAATTTTCCCGAAAACTCAGACCCGTTGGGCCAAATCTGAAGGCAGATTCGGATTCAGCGGAAAAAAATACGTGGAAATACATGGATCTGAATACCAGATCGGATACTTTTTTTTGTGAGGCTAATTCAATTCAATCAATTCAATTCAATAAGGCTAATAATTCAAATTAAATTGTAGTTTTCGCAATTATTAAAATTAACAATTAAAAAAAATTAAATTGTATTTCCCACGTAATTACCGATGTGTCAAACTTTCAGGGACCTTGCGACGATGTTTGTAAGTGTTGGAATCCAAAACACTGTAGACCTCACTCAAAAAATATCCGTGAGTGAAGTGATCCCGCATCCCAAATACAATAACACCTTATACTACGACATAGGTCTTTTGAGACTCTCAAAAAACGTACAGTTTAACCCCTACGTAAGACCAGCGTGCCTTCATACAGAAAGAGACATCCCCTATGATTTAGCCATAGAATCAGGATCGGGTATGTTTGTAACAGATCAAAGCACGTATTTGTTGGCAACAGTGTTGGAGTTATTCAGTGCAGATAAATGTAACGAGACTTTACCTGCTGGTGAACTGAAAGATGAATTGGCCGACGATTTGATAATTTGTGCCGGGACAAATAGAAAAAAAAGTCTTGGATGCCATGTAAGGTGGTATTATCATGACGCAACATTAGTACAACGTTTAAATGTTATGTAACCTCGATGTTGCAGCCGTGTATATAATGAATTGAACCACTTACATATGACATGCGAGGGGCTACGGATACGTAGAATCGGTCAAAATATTTTAAGACTATAAAAATATACGGCCACAACATGGAGGCAATATATTGATGTTATACTGAATTCGCGGGTCTGTTTGACCCGTTTAGCTCTGGTTGAAGGTCAGTTCAAGGTCAAATGTGTAGAATCAGTTACCAACAACGTAAACCCATATATCTGTATGTTTTTGGGGTTGCTGATTCCGAATCCGGTGTCCGTTTGACAAAATCAGATCTGGTTTAAAGTCAGTTCAAGGTCAAATGTAGAGTCTGTTAAATATCCTCAAGTTCTAAACTCAAAACGCTTAAACATTTATACGTATTAAAAAAGTACTTCTTTGACTACACTTCTCAGACCTTTTAACAACAAAATAGTTCGATACCTTAAAAGTGAGTACATAGTAGTCGCGACATCATAATAGTGAGATGTAGTGATTTCATGTGATTTATCAAAGTAAACAATTTCTTATCTTGAAAAACTTTTCTCAAAAATCTCAACGAACAAGGACTGACTGTGTAAATTAATGCACATGAAGCATTGAAGCATTAACGGACATATTGGTTTAAAGCTCACTTAATTAGGCTTACTGATACTAGAATTTTGTCATGTGAAAACAAACTCGAAAGTCACGGGCTCAGAGTTAAAGCTTTCTTTCTTTAATATTATTTGTTACTCAAATTTTAATACGCATAAATGAATACCTGAGTGTTTTGAGTTTAGAACTTAGCAGATCCGATCAGGTCAAACGGACCCCGAATTCGGATTAAGCGAACCCAAAAACGTATAAATACATTGGTTTACTTTGTTGGCAATTGATTCTCTACATTTGATCGTGAATTGACCTTAACGCAGACCCTATCGGATCAAACGGACACCGGATTTAGATTCACCGACCCCAAAAACGCATAGAGATGTATGTTTACTTTGGGGGCAATTGATTCTCTACATTTGACCTTGAACTGACCTTAACGCAGACCTGATCGGATAAAATGGACACCGGATTTGGATTCACCGACCCCAAGAACGTATAGATATGTAGGTTTACTTTGTTGGCAATTGATTCTCTACATTTGACCTTAAAGTGCCCTTCAACTAGAGCTAATTGAGTCAAACGGACACCGGATTCGGAATCAGCGACCCCAAAAACATATAGATAACAGGGTCTTGTATTTCTGAGATTCCGCTTTTTTTTTGTGGGGCTGAGGGAGTTGTTAATTTACATTCAAAATTTGAAAAAATTCATACATCGGTTCTTTAGATATCGGTTGACATCTGTCACCTCATGTTCAAGGTCGTTTGAAGGTTAAAGTAAGAATAGGAGGTGAAAAAAATTGAAAAAATTGTTTACGAATGCTCACCTGCCTACTTTTTTCTGTGTTTTCTGTTTATTGTTAGTCTGTATTTATCGTTCGCCTCTATTTTCGGTCGGTAATTTTGTCTATCTTCCTGTCTGACGAGATGACTAAATGTTTCTATCTGTCTGTTTTTTCTGTCACCCCCTGTTTAAATGTCATATGGATCTGAAACTTCATTTTCTTCAGTCTCATCTTGATTGGTTCCCAGAAAATCTGGGAGGTTTTAGTGAAGAACAAGGAGAGAGAATGTACCAGGAACAAAGTTATCAAGGTATTTGGGTCAAGAATATGTTAGCAGACTATTGTTGGAATCTAAAGAGAGACACAAATAATGCACATAAAAGAAAAGCGATTCGAAGATCGTTCCAGGAACACCGTAAGCGTTCTCGACCGAATTTCGATTACTATACTTATGCTGACAGAAACAAATTGATTTGTTGAAGGCTTTGAAAAGTTTTTTTTAATCTAGTTTTTGTACAATCACGCAAAGCAGAGTGAAGAGGGTAGACAGAAAGATAAGAAGACATTGTCAGTGAATATTTAGACTGAGGGTGGCAGAGAACCAGACAGATGGAAACATTTAGTCATTAAGTACAGAAAGGCAGGATGTCGAGCAGATGGACAGGGAGAAAATAAAGACGGACGATAAATATAGACTAACAAGCAAACAAACAGGTATGCAGGTAAAAAGAAAGACCGATAAACAGACAAAAGTAGGAAGGTAAGCATTCGTAAAAATTTTTTCCAATTTTTTTCACTTTCTATTCTTACTTTAACCTTCAAACGATCTTGACTATGAAGTGATAGATGTCAACCAATATGGGATTCAGACAATCATTGAACGTTTCTAAATAAATTTACCAAGGAAAAAATCTTACAATAAATAACAATAACAATGCTAGATTACATTTTTGTAACAGATTCAGAATAAACAAAACGAAAATAGTGACTGCGGTAGAGTCGTATTTACTGAGTAGTCGTGTTTTACAAAAAATGGTGTACCTGATACATTTGCACAACAAACATGGATGAAGTGACGATAATTCAAAGGCAACGATTATGTACCATTCCCAACATCAATTAGCTAATGTATGAACTGGAATTATCTGTGACCATTTATTAGGACCTATTGAGCTTCCGCCACATTTAAATGGTGTTCAGCATTTAAATTTCTTGGAACATACTTTGTCAGAGCTAAGCCCGTATTAGAGTATTTAACTTCCTTTAACTGTATCCATCAATCTATCCATGTCTACGCCATTGCTATGGGAATAAAATAATTTGTACGTTTTCCTTAAGATATAATCAGAGAACACTATACCAACGAGAAGCGACAGAATCGGCGGTTCCTTTGATGTTTTGTGGTCACGCTAGAGTCGACCGATTTGACAGAAACACAATCGTTTACACTGAGAGAAGTTACACTTTTGAATAGATGTACACTGAACGAACTGCATCAGTATCAAACATTGTTCATATAATACAAGGATAACTGTGGTAAAATGTAGGCAAATTGGGTATAGTATATAAAAAAAATAAAACAAGATGTTTTACAACTAATATTTTTTTTAAACAGATATAATATTTTTCTGCAATATTTGAAATAGTTTTTTAAAAATAGGTACCTGACAATGCAATAACTTCTTTGGGACAATCTTCCACAATTTTTGCCTCTAGCTCTTCTTGCCCATTTCTAAGTTGAGGAAACTGTATAGGTATTCCGTTTGGCAATAAGGTTATTCTTACATTCCCTTTACCAATATATTTGGTTTCGAAATTGTGTTCACAAAGCCTATAATTCTTATATACATCCACAATCCTAGGCAATAAATCGAGTCTATTGCAAGTTTCTATCCACATTCTAGCACTGCAAACAAAAATAAAAATTCTCCTAAAGATATTCTCTATACTTATGCAATACCATATTACAAGAAAACATACCACATTATTTTAAAAATCAAAATACTTTTTTCTGATTTACAGTTTATAGGTAGGTACTTAAAATAATAATACTAATAATAATTACCTTTCTAATCCTTACGTAATCTCAAAAGGGTTAATCCTGCACCAGTTTTGGATGAACAATCGCGAAAAGCACAATAATAACCATGCATTTTATTGATTTCTAGTTAATTTTAATTGTAGATGGAAACGAAATACAATACAAATAAATCCGCTATCAATTAACATTATACAACACAACTCTCCACCGCCAATAAACTATTACTCCTTTCTTCTATTTATATTTGGCGGCTCTGATAGCCACTGACAACTGACAACAACACAACCCAATTCGCGCATGCGCATAGAAAAACAACGCAGAAAGCCTTGCTGTCGCTTCTCGTTGATATAGTATTCTCCGATATAATTGATATCTATTCGCGTACAAATTTTGACATTTTTGTCTTTAGCCGATTTAAAGATAATTAAGAAAAGCCCTATTCAAAGTAACAGTTTCAATACTTTGTACCCCGAAAACATCCTGTATAAAGAATTTGTTTTCAAGTTAGAATTATATAGATACTATTGCATCTTTTGGCAACCGACGTATTTTTTTTATTTTAGGGTGACACTGGCGGGCCTCTCCAAGTATACCATAAGGAAACCAGGGAAGTTCAATGCATGTACGACATAATCGCAATCAATGCCAAGCCAATAGCATGCGCGCTAGGAGCACCTAATACATCTGAGTTCACCAGAGTATCAACATACATAAAATGGATAGAAGACATTGTTTGGCCGAACTAAATACATTTCCATAAAAAAAATATGTCATTACCACTTAACATCCTTCGACAGTTAAATAGTTGCATGAAATTGTCCAAATGAAGTTTTTCAGGCTATTTTTATAATAAGAAGCAAATACTCTGACCTTTAATTCGATATCTGTACATATTATATCGGTAAAGCTGTTGTGGGCATGCATAATTCAAAACAATCTACTCGCTTTAATCAATTGTTTCAAAATTTTGAAGCTACATGTTTTTAACATGAGAAAAATAATAAAAATCGACCGAAAGTCAATATGATTTATTTAAGATGACTACGTTTCATCATTAAATTCATTTCTTAGTTCTGTTTTCTAGATTATTATTAATAAAGTATATCTATTCGTAGTATATTTATATCGTTTCTTTTTAACCACATATATGTTTGCCCGAACTATATACATTTTTGTTTTATGTAATGTCATATGTCAATATAACAACGCGCGATTGTGAAGATTTTTATTTAAAAATATAAAAGTCCCAAACCTATGATTTCAAATTTTGGAAGGGTCAAATTGTATTAATTTTCCAGAAAAACGAATATAACAACGAAAAAATTGTATTAGCTCTAGTTTCAACGATACATAGTAGACGAAAGTGTTTGCTTTTAATGTATTTAATGAAAAAAACAACATTATAGTATTGCATGCGCCAACAATATTAAAGTTATTTTTTATTAACAGTAATATACTAAGTATTCTCAATGTACGGTAGAATGCCAGATGATCTGGCCGGAAGGGGATCATGTGATAGCTTCACGAGAACGTTGTCTTTTGGCTTGCCTTTTGTAAGTTAGTTCCGGAGCATCCTTTAACACAGAACATCAGTAGTCCACAAGCATTGCTTGATTCCAACGGCCTTGATCAAAGAAATATTCTGATGGAATCTTTCTCCGTGTTCATTAATGAAAGCTCCATAATTTTGAAGGAAAAAATCAAGATGGGAGTGAAGAAATTGGACTTTAAGAAACATGTTGCTTACGGGTTGATGTTTTTTTTCCATAAGGTCTTTTAGCAACTGAACATAATTATCATCTTTTCTCTTGCCTCCCAAACTTCATTTTCTTTCGCCTTTAAAACTTGGTCAAAGGTAAGATCATCACAATTTCTCGAATTTGTGGTACAATAAAGATTCCCTCCTTAATCTGTTCTGTACCGTGCTTATGGGCGGAGTCAAGCAAAAATAGCAGTCATCTTTTTAACCACATACCGTATATAAAATGGAACTCCCCAAGGCCTCTACGCTATCGATGCAAATACTGGAGAAGTCGGCCCCATCCAACTGTTTAGTTTCCTGAGAGCAGCATGTCTATCAGGTTTGGCTACAGCGCCAGCGCCAGCGTGTTTGTATTTGTTTACGTTCTCTCGCTCGGTTCCTTTGCCGAGTTATATGAAGGTGAGTAAGTCAACGTATTGTGGATTGCGAATCTTACAAAAATAATAGCATTGTTTATGCACGAATTTTCTGATAGTTTCTCAAACTGTTCTTATTACACAGGCACGGTTGTGGTCTATTTGCTGACATTTGTGGATTTTTCGCTACAATAACGGTTGTTTAGTTTGGGACATTTTAGACAGACATTTAAAATAAACAACAAATTGATAACAGAAAGAAATTAGAAATCTGTTAAGCTCAAATCTGTCAAAGTAGGAGTTTTTGCTTTTTTGTAATTGCTAGTTCTAAGAGTGGTCGTTCTTAAATGTCAAAAAGAGTAAAGAGAAAAATAGAATTACTTTAATTTACTATATTGCCATGGGAGCTATGATTATGACGATCAATATTCTCAGTTATAATATCACAAGAGCATAGAAAATATTCATTCATTAGAAATTTAGCCAATAGCAATTACAACACAATTGGAACGCTTCGGTTCAAGCTCTGAATTATATAATCGTATCGAATACCACTCGAGCAAACGAAAATATTCGATTATACTAACCATCGATCTTGTAGTACTAGATACGGCATGGGGTATCTAACAGTATTGAGATTGTTTTGATACGTAAAGTCGTAGACTTGGAGCTCTGCGGGATGAGACGGGGAGTAAACATTTGGCGTTAGTACTATACACCAGCGGCGTAGTACATTAGAATGGTTCATTAAGGATTTTAATTACAATTTAATATTAAATGCAAGAAGTTTTATCTTAAGAAATAATTGAGTCAAACTTAATTTTAAAGCAGAATAAAGGCTGTGGTTAGAAAAATATATATATTTTTTCAAATAATATGGGGTTATAGGAACTGTAGCAAAATCAGTTTTTGTAAAAATTGTAATGTTTTCATTTCACTCATACAATATAGTGTACAATTCTTGTTATGGGGGGAAATTACGGAATGACTAAATCTTCATTTGACTATTTTAGTATAGTTATTTACTGATGACTAATTTATGAACATCCAAGTTTACATAGTATACTCGTATATTATGTTAAAATATGTACTGTATCTCGCCCTACTTTTATTAATATATGTTTTTCAAAAAGCATTTTTTGTAGCAGACGGTTTCTGAGACTGATGTGAGTAACTATAGTTTTGAAATTTGATGGTAATGTAAAGTTAAAGTTTACAGTGCTCTTCCAACATCTCGCTTTTAGGGAAATTAGTGTCATAAATCATAAAATATACCTATTAAGATAAAACTTTTATTAATTGTTAAGAACTACTATTAAAATAAAGTAATGAATAAATAACAAAATAAAGGATATAAACTACGTATATAAGTTATTGTAGGTATATTATAAAAGTATTAACAAAATAAAATAAATATATTAGTACCTACAGTATTGAATAATTCTAATTGGAATTAATACTGTGACAATATCAATACAAAATTTGTTTATTGATTTTTAAATAAAATTGTTTTTGTCAGTAAGCTTCTGACTCTGTTTTGTACATTATCTTTTAACTTAAATGTCTCGTGATGCACTCTAATCTTGAAATAATTTTTTAAAATTAGTTTTACTAATTGTATTGGATGCTCATTAAACGGATCATTTAGTATCGTAAATAAATTATATTATTGTTCAATAGTATTCCCAAGGTGCGTTACACCTAAAAGAATCTACGCCCATGTACAAAACTTAACGTATGAAAACAATATGGCCGATCCTCTTTCCCATAGTTATTAATTATAATATGGTATTAATAACTGTCACAAAATCACTTCACACACTCAAAACATTTATAAAACACAACAAAATTTGTAAGTAAAACTCAAGACAAACAAATAAGTCATTAATTAGAATATATTTTCTATGAATCTATGATGTAAACAAATAATGTCGAGCATGCCCGAATAAGCAGCCAATCAAAAGTAAAGTACCTTAAAATACCCCCCTTGAACAAAACAAATTGGGCCTATGCAGTATCTAGGACTACAAGATCGATGATACTAACCTCCTCACTCGACGTATATCCTTAAAACACCACTCCAGCTAACGCTGTCGTGGTGTTTCGCAGAATACGTCTCGTGACTCGGAAGTATAATCGAATATTTTCTATGCTCTTGTGATATTATAACTGATTATATAATTCAGAGCTTGAACCGAAGCGTTCCATTCTTTTTTTGACGTTTATTGACAAATGTTAAAAGTATCGTTACCATGACATAGTTCACATTGTTGGAGGAGGCGAAACACCAAACCGGTTATACCACGTCGTCAAGAGTGTAATCGCTTATCATACATAGTAACTACTTAAAATTTGTAATTGCTATTGGCTAAATTTCTAATGAATTATATAATCCTATTTAATTTTGTCCGTATTATCATTTCCAAATACGTTCCTACCATACATAATCAGTAATAATAATAAAAAAACACGAATAACGTAACCAAGGAGAGCATATAGTCCAAATCGCAGGACATACAATGGGATATTCGGGGCATCCTGATTTGCCTGGGATATGCGAATCTGTGCCATTGGATATCCTGATCATAATCTTAGCACAAGTTTATGCGATTTGGAATATCAGACAACTTAGATTACCGAAATGAATGTGCATATCTCGAATTGGCAGTATCCAACCAGTATAACGGTCAGCAAACGGTTTGGTAACAGTTTGAAAATTCTGTACAAACGTCAAATTTCTAGTCAGAGTTTGAGATTTGTTCTGCAGCAGCGATAATTTCATAATATACATGCTTCAAACAACAGGAAAACATTGGAGACTGTTGCAGAGACAAACCTAATGTATTAACAGATTGCTGAAGGTATACATCAAACTGGAAATTACTATTTTTTAAATACATTTAATCTTCAGGAGACAAATGTTCTTTGCGAGATGGCGGCGAAGGCAAGTGCAAGCTTATAAAGGAATGTCCGACTGCTATGCAATTGATACAGACAGGGGTTAATCCGATCATTTGTGGATTTGAGAAAATTGAACCTATTGTGTGTTGCAAAGATGGTGAAAAAATGATGAATACGACTAGTACCACCACTACAACGGATAGAATTAGCAGTAGTAGAAAACCAGGAGATATAAGCAGGCAAAGTAAAGTTTCAGTTTACTGCTGTTAAAAACTCTGTTGACAGTTTCCTCATTTGTTTACTAACGTATAAAATTATTTTCAGAATGCAAAGAATACGCAGATTATGCCTACGAGAAGATCCAAGCTCCCACATTGTTGCTAAATCCGCATTTTACAAAAAAGCTTTTGTGTGACATTCAGAGAAACAAACTCGTTGTGGGAAGTACTTTAGCATCGAGAAGGGAATTTCCTCATATGGTAAGCATGATAGTATTACTATTACTACTTTTATTGCCAGTATAAATATGTTCATTACCACGAAAATTGTTGTTGTTGACGCTATCCTCATCATTGCATCATAATAATTATCATCACCTTGCCGATATTTTACTACAAATAATTCATAACAGAATTGGTGGCTGTGCACACAGACACGACCGAAATAGTAATTTCCTCTCGTAGATCTAGGAGAAATATGAAATTAAATCGTAGAAAGTAACTTGATAGCAATAACGGTTTTTTACATAGGATCATTTGGACAACGACCTTTCACATAAATATACGACAATAATCGATGTATTACTTGAAGTAAACAAAACTTTATATTCTTAAGAATATCTTTTATTTTCAGTGTAAAAGGTATAGATTTATTATACAGAGTGTAACTTTAAGGGTCATAGTTTAGAATACTAATCTAAAATTATTTTTTTAAATCAATTTTATAATTCGTTTTTTAATCTGCGCTTAAACTGTTATCACTGGACAGCTCTTGAATATGGTTGTGGTTGGTGTGGTTTTGTATGCGTGCCGTACGCGCTTATCAGTGATACCAGTTGTTGCTTATCGTTTTAAGCCAATTGTATAAAATCAATAGAGCGGCAGAAAGTGCGACAGCAATGGAAAATAATTCTAAAAACAGACTGTTTTTGTACGACTTAAGGACATGTTATTTTAGGGTTAGTATATTCTATCAACGCGAAACAAAGCACCGAACAAAAAAATTCAAGTGTTTCAAAAAAATAACACTGTTTTGCATGATTATTTTAGGCAACGCCATTTAAATAATACTTACCGAACGCTTTGTATGTTTTTTTCTAAGGTACATATAATTGTTTTTTACAGTATTTTGTTCTATAAGTTATAAGATGTCGATACATAATAAGAAAGAACTATATCGAATAGGAATAAAATATCGCTAGATTGTTAAAATGTCACGCTGTGAGGCGTCTATACGAGACTAAAGATTTATATTTAAATAATGAACTTTGAATTTAACATAGGTACCTTGCCCTTATCATTGATTGCTACAGTCACAATTTTTATTTCTAGGCTCTTATTGGTTATCAAGATAACGATAGCGTTGTCTGGCAATGTGGAGGTTCACTTATAAGTGAAAACTTTATTCTGACCGCTGCACATTGCATGTTTTCAACTTCACTGTAAGTACAACGTTTGTATATACGTTTTACTTGCCCCTTTCATTGATTTATTTCAGTCTGTGCTTAAATGAATAACTGAAACGAATGTTTACGATTTAAAATCTAAAAGCAACTGCTGCAACTATTAAAATTAAGAATTAAAAAAAATAAATGGCTTCCACCAATGTCAAATTTTTAGGGGCCCCGCGAAGTTTGTAAGACTGGGTTTCACAAATAAGACAGACCCTTCGCAAATGCAAGAACGAACTGTGAGTCAAATAATCCCGTATCCAGAATACCACTACCCCAGTAGATACCACGACATCGGTCTTTTAAGACTGTCTAAAGAGGTGCAGTTTAACACCTATGTCAGACCAGCGTGTCTTCATATACAGAAATACATCCCCTATGATTTAGCCATATCTTCGGGATGGGGTATCGTTTCATTTGGGGGAGAGCCGAGCAACGATTTGTTGGCGACAGTGTTGGAATTCTTCAGTGCAGATAAATGTAACGAAACTTACAGTCGGCAGATTTCTACCCGCAGATTGAAAGATGGAATCGTCGACGATTTGATGATTTGTGCCGGGACAACTAGAGCAGTGAGGACTACATGCCAGGTAAAGTTTATCATGACACGACATCAAACATTCAAATGTTATGTAATCTTGATGTTGCAACCCTATATTTAATGAATATTTTCATTATTATACAGGATGATTCAAAAATGGTGACCAAAAATGAAGACGAACTGAAAACACACTTCCACATTCGAATAAAATGCGGTTTAAAATTACATAGTAGGCTGCGATGATAATCTTTATATCCTGAGCAGTTAGAACAAAGAATAAATAATGCTTTTAAGGAGGTATAACGGGGTCCGAGGGAAGCGAGGATCGCAGGGGGGTCCTATACTTTTCTTATGGGACTAAAACCTGCTACCAACTTGAAAAAATTAAATTCTATTGAAATTATTTGCGATAAACATTATCTATATAGCAAAGAAATCTACTCATATGCACATAGCACACATATTGACTAATTAACAACATAAAAATATCATATTTAAGTAGTTTTAAATTATATTTAATGAACGCATAACCACTATGTAGATGTGGCAACAGCGCTAATAATCGAGTGCAGTTATACACACTGCGAACCTACAGACCTTGGACATCGGAGATATTGCGTGTCAAATTCGGGGTAAAGATGCGCACGCGTTCAAAAATGGATTGTGTATAAGCTATGTAAAATATAATTATTATATATAGCAAATATATCGTATTACCCTCGCGAAGATTTGTATCCTTTATTTAAAATCCGTAAATAATGTGAACTGGTAAAACGACGAGAAAATAATTATGTTAATTTAGTTCTAAAGGAATGAAATGACACTTGGGCCCATCTCTCGTCCAAGTCAAAGAAAATATTGGATGCAATTTTGAAGGTTCTGTGATAGAAATTACATTATTACTCACTGTTCGTGTTTTCATCTCTATTTTAGTAGTTACAAAAGTTTTGCAACTATAACTAATTTTTTAGATATAAAGTTTGCTGAGAAATATTTATGTTCCTTTGTTATTCCGTACAAATGCTTTTATCTCAAGTATTACTAATTATATTAATCAAGTAAAGAAAACTTTTTGTAACCCTAAATATTCCTAGTAAAGATTAATGTTTTTATACACCATTAAATATATTAAAAGGTTTTATCAACTGTATTTTTTATTCCAATAAATATATCACAGCTTCCTAGCCTTTTTTAATTAATTTAGTCTTTTAAAAACATTACAAAAAATAATCTGTTGTGGATAATTTATTGTTTATAATAATGTAGATGGGATTTAGGAAAAATGTATATGTTTGAAATCAATTTCGTTTTTATCGAATCTTTCGAATGTATTCCCTCCTTGCTGTCAGCTGATTGAAACGTTGCTACCTTAATCCTCAAGTCAGACAGAAATGCAATTATTGGTTTCTGTTTCTAATTAATACAGTTGTACTATGTTCAATAAGTAATTTTCATATTTTTAATTTGCCGTAATTAATTAAACTATTTACAATTTTATTGTTTGATATCTTATGACAAAGTTTATGTTACGTACTATTTCATGTTAATATGTTTAAATTCACTTCCGACGTTTTTTGTGAAGAATGAACTTCACTTTCTCTTTTGAGCTAGTATACCTGCTTAGTATCATCCTTTCTGACTTTCAACATATTTTTCCTTCAATATTATGCATCAAACGACCCGTATCCACGCTATTGCTATTGGGAATAAAATGATGCAGACTCAGTTGATATTTATTCGTATACAAATTTTGACACTTTTATCTTTAGCCGCTTTAATAAAATTAAGAAAAACCCTTTTCAAAGTAACAACTTCATTAACCTATATCCCCGAAATGCAACGTTAATGAAAAAATTGTGATATGAACTACTCCCACTACTTTTCTCAGACTTGGTTATTAAGTAGGTCATTGTTTTCGGAAACTAACATATTTTTTTAGGGAGATTCTGGTGGCCCTCTCCAAGTATACCATACGGAAACCGAAGAAATTAAATGTATGTACGACGTCATCGGAATCATTTCCTTTGGAAAATCATGCGGTCTGACGAAAAACAATCCAGACGTGTTTACCAGAGTATCAACATACATAAAATGGATAGAAGACACTGTTTGGCCGAATTAAATACATACTTCTTGTTTTAATTTCATTACGTGAATGTAACAGGGTAATTGTGAAGATTTTTATTTAAAAATATAAAAGTCCCAAACCTATCACTTCACAACATCCCTCGGTAGGTGAATAGCTGATTATAAATTATAACAGATTATACAGGGTGTTTGTAAATAAGTGCGAAATATTTAAGGGGGTGATTGCGCAAGATGTTTTGTGAAAAAATTCACATAAACGTAGGTCGAAATATGCTTCGTTTCCGAGATAGAAAGTGTTTAAATTTTAATTTTTTATTTATTTTTACTAATTATTTCAAAGAGTTTTAAATATATTGACTCGAAATTTGAAAAACGCTTTGGAGGGATAAATGTGCATTTTTTGAGGTGCTCCGAATATTTCTATTTACACCAGTGGTGTCTTCTTTAATAAAAAAAATGGTACGCCACTGTACCCCGTTTTAACATTGTTTTAGAATCTGCCATCAATTGTTTTCGCAGGATTAACCGTTTTTGAGGAAAAAAATAAAACATATTTTATTGCGGGTTTTGTTAATCTTTTATTTAAAGGTGCAAGTAAAAATATTCGGATCACTCCAAAAAATGCAAATTTATCCCTCCAAAGCATTTTTCAAATTTCGAGTCAATATTTTCAAAGCCTTTAGAAATAATTAATAAAAATTAATAAAAAATTAAAATTTAAACAGTCTGTATCTATATGATCTTTTTTCACACTGCCCCCTAAAATGTTTAGCACTTATTTACAAACACCCTGTATGTCGACTTTGGAATTTTGTGAGTAATTGTAAAAATTACAACGTAAATAAACTTTTTTCTTCTTTATTATATCCTTTCGAGTTTATTAATTTTAAATGTTCATGTACTGTCCTCAAAGTACATAGTCATTGTTTTATTTCAATAAATTTATGTCATTTATTTATTTATTCATTTATTTATTAACCTTTTATAGGACCGGCATTTAACAAGTATTCAAGAAATTTCAATTTCATAGTACCTCAAGCAATTAAATTTTGCATCTGCCCTTTTTAACTTTTAGAACTAATTTTTTTTTAAGAACTGCCTTTGCCTGACGTTGAACGGTCATTTTCCCTACACAAGTTAATATAAAGTGATAAACGTTGCCGTTTCACTAAAGAGAACTTAGAAAACCACCTAGTAATATGTTTTAACTCCTTCCAATATGCCACGGAAGCTTTGTCTCAACACTAAGGTTTATCGGGTAAGTAGTGTCATTTAAATTTATATAGGTATTTTATCCTCTACTTAGCCTTGCTCTTTGGTAATATTTCCATGTTGCGGCATATTAATATTTTCATTCGTAATCTGACTACGGTCCTGTTAAACTCCGTGTCGCACTAAGCCTACTGACGACTTTTTTTTTCTCCGCATGTTTAAGTTATTTGTACAGAGTAGACCACAGACCACCTAGACTGGCTTATAGAGCGACTTTGGTAAAAACACTTTGGAGCCTGATTTGGAGCCCAGCGTTCAGTCGTGTCCTAGCATTTGACGTGTACGCATCGCTGTGATTTCGATAATTAGACGTTTTATCATGGGCAAGTGTATTGTAAAACATTGTATAAAAAGAAGTGATCGAGTTGGTGAAGAGAGGCGAAAAGTTTCCTTCTTTAGGTAAGTAAAAAAAAAGGAATATATAAAAGGTAAATATGTACGCCATTTTTCGGTTAACGTCACAAGTTACCAGGGTTAGCTTTATAATTTTGTTCGCCCACATAGTGTAGTGATTAAAGTGATATTATAAAATAATGAATGAATTAAGTACTGTAAAATATTTTTAGTAATTATTTACTTTGTGTCTTAAATTTTTATGAAATTTTACCAATTCCCGTCATTTCGAGATAGCTGAAAATTAATTAAATATTTTTTACAATTAAAAAAATCGCAAACAAAACTAATTTCAGATTCAGTATTCGTACAGTCAATCAATTTTTATTAAAGATCGTGGTTGTTTGACGTATCCATCTCGAGATGTCGTAGTAATATGCTAAGAAACAGAAAAATTAATAAAATTTTTAAATAATGATGAAAGCAGAACACCTAGGCTACAGAAAAAGAAGAAGAAAATTGTTTATCATGTATTAAAAAACTTTCTGAATGTGAACATATTTGAAAATTTGCATGAACATCAATTTGATAATTTGCCTAACAATTGTAATTTATTTAATAGAACTTATAAGGGCTGAATGTGAAAAGTATATCGATGTACGAATAAATCATGAAGTCAAATTATTTAATTCGGTAAAATCTACGAAAAGACAAATATTAATTAGAGGATAATAAATATCTTTAAATTATTTTGTAATTTTATTTAATATGACACTAAAATATACTATTTTCTGAATTACAAACTTAAAATTGAATATTTGTCATAAGATGCAATATAATGTTTAATATGTAATAAAAATATTACTTAATCCGGATCTGCTTAAAGATGCGCGCGATCAGATTGCCTTCCACACTCCACTTCCCCAGATTTTGCATTTACTGGTACCCGTGCATTGGATTAGATACGGCCTGTCTAGGTGGTCTGTGGAGTAGACAATGTGTGTTTTTAACCCGAAAACGTAACATGATTAGGTCAAATTTGGGTAGAGATGTGTACGCGTTCAAAAATGTATTGTGTTTAAGTAAACTATGTAAAATATAATTATTGTGTATAGCAAATATATCGTATTAAAAATTACACTATTGTTAACTAAACTTTATTTAATAAATATGAAGTTATACAATAGGTACATGATTTTCTAATTATTCTATAAAGCCGCATAAATTTCCGAGGCCTACTCGACACGCCACTGCGTTATGGATAACGTATCCATGTTCGTGAATGACGACATATGTATCTATGTTCAAGGTTAAACACATACATTGACCGCTGTCTGGTTATTTGTGCTTAGTTTTATAGAAAATCAAAGAAACCCTTGAAAAAAAAGAAACAATTCAAATAACAACTATCTTAAAACAAAGTAGGGAAATACGTTTGATGATCGCAAAATATCGTCAAAATACCCGCTGTTCTTTTCATGTCCTTAATGTATTCAATCATTATCGGTTTTGTTTAATAGTTCTCCTTATAAGATTATTAATAAAATATTCCCAAATCTCTTCTGTTTAATAACATAGAGTAAAACATGGAATTGTCCAAGGTCTCTACGCTATCGACGCTAATTCAAGTCGGCCACACTTACATTATGTGGTTTCCTGAGAGCAGCATGTTGTGTATCAGGTTTAGCTACAGCGTGCTTTTATTTGTTTTCGTTCCCCTCCTCGGTTCCTTTGCTGCTTTATATGAAGGTGAGTGAGACATTAACGTAGGTGTTGTGGATTGCGATTCTTACAAATATAACAGCTTTGTCTCCGCACGAAATTTCTGATAGTTCGCAAACTGTATATATTACACAGGCGCGGTTGTGGTCTATTTGCTAACGGTTGTGTTTTTTGCGCTGCAATAATGGTTGTTTAGTTTGAGTTCGACATTTTACAGGAAAACTGAAACTAAGCAACAAATGGACTCTTTTAGTGTGACGTCATATATTTAGGCAACCCGCAACAAATTGTCATAGTTAAGATTGTACAAACTTACATAGATACTATAAAAATGAACAACTTCAAATTCATTTATTTTTACAAGGATTTGGAAGTATTAAGAACAACCAATACGTGTTTTGTAAAATGGATACACTAGTGTGCTTAAAACTTACAAAAAGCGATGTAAAATAATTTTCCTAAATTTAAATAAAGTAAAAATTTAACATTAGCCGTGTAGTCCTACTGCTCATGCTCGGAAAGAATAGCCTCATACGCAGGTGGGATCATTAGCGTATTTTTTCTCTTGATTTGTTTAACCTTGGCATTTTCTAGTTCTACTAAGTATTTTTATTGTTTTTCTTGGTATTATACTGTGTCAGTGTGTTTGTCCAGCGTTTTTTTCTTCAAGTGGCTTATTATACTCTTAACCACAACCAAACTTTTCTTGAATGATATCCTGTTGCGAGGCTACTTAGCTTACATGAAATTATTTTTGATGAATGATCTATATCCTCTTATTTAATTTTGTCCGTATTTTCACTTCCAAATACGTTTCTACCATACATAATCAGTAATAATTTAAAAAACACGAATAACCTAATTGATATTTTCCACTAATTTCTAGTCCAGGGAACGAAGATAAAAATAGGGTAAAACCTCCGAATGCTTTCGGATAGCTCCGATTTTTATGAAAATTTGAAATTAAGCTTATTTCACCCTCTAGATGAAAAGTTATATATGCTTGATATGCGCTTCTTATTTTTATGGGATGAAAACCACGCCTTATGCTAAAAATTTTAATAAATATGAAATAGGTGTTGTGTAGGCTAAAATCATATCTTAATATATAGAATAAATATTGTTTTATATTGTGGGTTATAATTCACGTTATTTTTTATAAGGTTTCAACCCTTAAAAACCACCCATAATGATAGAAATATAAAATTAATAGTTTCTTTGACCTTAAAATATTTTGATAGCGTATATATTATAGATATAAATCTTTTCAATTATAAATAATTTATTACAATATTTCAACCCTTAAAAAACTACTCATAATAACAAAATATTAAAACAAAAAGTTTTTAACAGTTTGAAATTATTTGATAGTACAAACAGGATAAATTAAATTCTTTTACTTGATTATAATACAATTTATAATTTGTCGTTTTAAACATTGTTATTTTAAGCATTGTTTTAAACCCTTGAAAACCACCCTCAATGACAAAATATTTAAAAAATGGCTTTTAAATTATTTAAAATGAAATATAATGCCCCCTATTGTGTTTGCCAGATCACTGGGTGTCTCAAAAATCACCCATTATTATACAAATAAAAACAATTTTATACATCTACAGTTGACAAGTAGAATTATTAAAATATTAAAGGGAAATAGTGAAGGTATTCTATGTAGGTAGGTATATAGAATTCTCCAAAGTTGTGGCTAATCAAAATATTTATATGCTCCGAAAATTGAAGGTACCGTTGGTTTTTTAACGATAACTTCCTTAATTTTAAAGCTATTAAGACGATCCAAAAACGATTTTATGGAAAATTTCGACAGCTAAAAGTACTGTAAAGTTGAATATTTTTTAACGCGTTATTTTTGAGATTTTTAAGTTAAGAATTTGAAAAACATTACCTTCGTCCTCAACTGCAAACTTCTAGCAGCAACATCTCTGTTAATTTTTATCCTACACAAATAAAAAAAAAACCAAATATTCTGTGAAAAAAATCTAAACTTTTCTACTCTTGAACATTTTTCGTATCTTTTTATTTTTAAAGTTATTTGCAGAAATATGTAATTTTTTTGGAATTAAAAAATAAATTTTTCAATCAAAACGTAATATTTTCAAAAATATGTATTCTAAACCGCTTAAACTTGTATAATATATTGTTAGCACATCAAAAATGTAAATTGTAGAAGGATTACCTTTAATTTTAAATCCCGGGAATAATTCAGCAGTTTTTGTACTGATTTATTTTTCCGAAAAAGCGAATTAACAGTATTATTTCAATCACAACTCTGTTAATATTTATGCTAATGACTTAAAGTCAAGTTAATTTTAAAGATTTTTTAAAATACTTTAAAAAATGCTCTGTGCATTTTTCTTGAAAAATATAATTTTTTTTTAGTTATTTTACGTTAAATGTGTCCAATTTAGTTTCTGGCGGACATGAAATTATCTTCAACCAGCCGTATCTCAGCATCTATTGCACCTACATAAATGAAAAGAAACTAAATCGTTTTCAATTTCTATAAGCTTCATTTTCTTCGTGATGTTTTTTCCATAGAATGTCTATTTTCCGAGTTATTCGAGAAAAAGTACTAAAGAACGTCTTTTTTAATAAAAAATGTACATTTTCAATCACCAAAATATTGACATCGAAAAATGTTCATAAGTTACTTGCTTAAAATTGATAGGTTTATCGATTCCTGGGATTATTTATCACCTGGGCAAAGCGCTCATCGGCACTATTAGTATAACTTTTGTTTCTTGAGCTATTTTCTACTTACAGTCTAAGCTTCACGTCAATCGGTTCTATCCGAAAGAGTTCGGATGGGAAACTTTTGGTTCCCTGGACTATTCGTCAAGAATTCAAAGGAATTACAGTCAAAATTAACGTAAAAAGTTCATCAAGCGGTCAATCCCACACAGCATACGTTATCCCCAGTATATCACGTTATTATCCTATTCACGGTGGGACTTTCGCCATATGTCTTCGAGACATATAATTTTGTATATACCGGGTATTTTATTTTGCAAGGACGGAAGATATTTCATTATTAGTTTGGCAGCGTATATACTTTTTGGGATACGTATCCCTGAGACGTCCTCTGGAGGGTATCTATAATTTATCATCTTTCATCAGTATATCGTTTAATGTGCATACGCCAGTCTGTGTAGTAGTGGTGGTGAACAAAGACAATAATGTTGAGTGTGTTTGTTATTTCCTTTTGGCGTTGTTCAAAATAAATGTACAATTTAATTGCCTATTTAAAATAATCAAGTATCTACCTAATATAATTTAGTATCATAATATACTTAATACAATATAGTTTATGCTATTTGGGATACAAGACAACTTGGATTAATTATCATGTCTCGTATTGGCAGTCCACAAATAAATCTCCAACCAGTATGACCGTCAGCAAACGGTTCAGTAAGTTTCAAAATCCTGCACAAATATCAAAGTTCTGGTCAGATTTATTCTGCAGCAGCAATCATTTCATAATGTATATGCTTCAGACAACAAACATTGGAGATAGTTGCAGAAACAAACCTAATCTATTATCTATCTACTATTACAAATTGTTGCAGGTATAGATCAAATTGGATATTATTATTTTTTGAATGTTTATGCTTCAGGAGACAAATGTTCTTTGCAAGATGGCAGCGAAGGCAAGTGCAAGCTTATAAAGGAATGTCCGGCTGCTATGCAACTGATACAGACAGGGGTTAATCCGATCATTTGTGGATTTGAGAAAATTGATGCTATTGTGTGTTGCAAACACGGTGAAGAGATAATGAATACGACTAATACTACCACTACAACGGATCGAACACCTGGAGATATAAGCAAGCAGAGTAAAGTTTCAGTTTAATCTTGTTAAAAACACTGTCAACTTAGATTTTATTTTTAATGGCAAGGAAATTATTTCAATGTATTCTGTTGTTACTAAAATACAACATTATTTTCAGAATGCGAAGAATACGCAGAGTATGCCTACGAAAAGATCTATTCTCCCACACTGTTGCTAAAACCGCAATTTACAAAAAAGCTTGTATGTAATGTTCAGAGAAACAAACTCGTTGTGGGACCTATCTTAATATCGAGAAGCGAATTTCCTCACATGGTAAGCATGCTATTGTTGGTATTATTACTCTTTTTGTCAATATAAATATGTTCACTATCGTAACCATTGTTGTCGTTGATGCCATCGTCATCACTCCTACTAATATTAATAAGGAAACATATGAGACCTCACTGCTTTTTTTTAGCTGTCATATTTTTTTTCTATTTATGCGATTAAAAATACAACTTTTTTGTCTTTACTTTTTTGATATCTTGCTTCGTTTTCGATCGAAAAATTAATATCCTTTCATATGCACATTCTTAAGGCAAGTAGAAAACAAAAACAGAAATTCAATATTTTAGTTATTTACTAATCAACTTTAACAATAAGTACATTTCAAGGAAAAACAATGTAACAAGCTGAGAAACAATAACTCCCTAATCATATTTTTTTAAATAATTAATATTAACAGAAACATAAGAAAAAATATTTAACAAACAGCAATGATATGAAAAATACTTTACATACACAGGCGTTACACAGTTGTTGAAAATGTGCACCTTCAACTCTAATACAGGCATCTATCCTACGGCACACTGATGGCCGAAGCCGTTCAAATATTGCGGCTGTGTGTGTAATTGTTTCACAGGATGCGACAATGCGGTTTCATAATTCGTTTATGGTTTGCACTGGAATTGTATAAACCAAATGTTTGAGGTGACCCCAAAGGAAAAAATCCAACGAATTTAAGTCGGGAGACCTAGGAGGCTAGGGTTGAGTGTCTCCTCGACCTATCCAGCGATTTGGCTAGATATTGTTCAAATATTCATGCAGCTAAACTGAAATGGGGTGGAGCACCATCGTGCATAAAATACATTTGCAACCTTAATGGCAATGGGATGTCTTCCAAAAGTACGGGCAATTTGTCCTCAAGAAAACGGCGATAAACATCTCCAGTAAGCCTCGGTGGTAAAAAAAATGGCCTATTAAGTGGTCTCCCACAATTCCGACCCATACATTAAGTGAAAATTGGTGAAGATGACGGCTTTCTAATATTGCATTTGGGTTCTCGTCCGCCTAGATATGATTAATAATAATCCATAAGGAAGTTCATTATGGCTTTTCTAGAAAAATTCACCTCATCCGTGAATAGTACTTATGATAAAAAAATTTTGTTGTATCCATCGACACATAAATCTAATCTTAACGGAAAATCAATCGGTGCCTCAACTCGTTGGATGTGATAAGGATAGAACATTATTTTTTTAAATCTTGAAAATTGTAGAACGACTTGCATTTAAGTTTCTAGCATCTGTTTGGTACTTGTTGTTGGAGTGTCCTCAATTTCATGAAGTAGGTACATCTTCCTCCAATTGTAGGGTTATTGATGTGTGGGGTCGCCCGTTTCCTGCGGTAAGTTTTCGAAAACTTCCAGTTTCACTAAAACGTTGATGAAGACGGGTGAAGATAGTATGATGAGGAATTATACGATTAGGGTATTTCTGCTCATAGAGGCGCCTGTCGGCTAATGCATTACCGTTGGCAAGGCCATAAAGAAAATGTATATCGCATATTTCACTATTTGTGTAATTCATTTTGACAAGCAGGAATTGACAGTTACACAGTTCAAGTACTTATTAAAATCAGACACTTAAACTATTAATTTTTTGCTCGAAAACGAAGCAAGATATCAAAAAAGTCAAGAGACAAAAAAGTTGTATTTTTTATCGCATAATTAGAAAAACATATGACACCTAAGAAAAAGCAGTGACGTCTCATATTAATATCAACAGGAGTGAGTCCCCGGACGCCGCAGGAATAGATAAAATAAATCAAATTACGTCAGAAGACGTTTTTATAAACAAACATACCAAATTTCAAAAAATCGGAATCAGGGTTCTCCAGATATTAGTAAAAATCTTGTATTTTCTCGAAATTTCAACACGTTGTATCTCCGCAACGAAGCATTTTCGGACAGGTTTATAGGAACTTTATTTCTTAATTTTGTTCAAAAGAACTCCCCCTGATTTTTTCGCAATATTAATGGGACACCCTATATATCAGTTTCAATTTTTTTCTGAATGCAATATACTATTTATTTTATTCAATATTTAAAAGATTTGCTTTGAATCCTCTAAAAGTTCAAACAAAGACAACATAACTTTATGTTAAGAATAAATATTTAGACAAGGAATTCAGTCTAAATAAAAAACATCAACTTATTCTTTAAAGAAATATAACCACAATTATTCTTAAATAACGAATTATATTTGATCTTATTATATGTATAAGAATAATACAGGGTAGCCCATCGAAAACGTACCGCAAGGCATTACAGGGTAGTAAAGAACTTTTCGACAAAATCCAAAAACAGGTCAAATTTGTTTCTGAGGGGAACAACTTTTGGCTCAAAAAGCATACCAAAATCTTCAACTCCCTAAGTGGGGGTGCTATCCCCTAAATTTTTTCAAATGGGAATGGGGGTCAAGTGGGGGGTCATTAGAAAAGGCTTTTAATTCTCTATACATCGATTCTTACTTTTTGAAAATCGATTTTGTCAAAAAGTTCTTTACTACCCTGTAATGCCTTGCGGTACGTTTTCGATGGGCTACCCTGTATATCTGTGAATATAGTATTACTAGACTTGAGGAATACAAAAACTACTAGTGTTGGAATAAGAAAATTAATCTTGATATTAGCATAACTTTTTTCCTTATAATTGTGTAGGATTGTCACTATTCGCGTTTTGGTGGTCGACACTTCTATTTGAAATTTATTATTATAAAAATTATTACAGCGAACGGCTTTTGTGCTATACTTTCCCATCGCTTTCCATATTTCTTTCTAAGGTATCATTGGTTTTTATAGTAAGTTGTTGTACTAAAAGATATAAGATGTCGAACATAACAAAAAATATCTATATACCTAATATCGAATAGGAATAAAGTACCTCTAGATTGTTAAAATATCACACTGAGCAGCATCTGTAGGAGTCCAATGATCTTTTATATTTAAATATTGTACTTTAAATTTAACATCTCTTGAACTTCAATTTGCTCTTATTATTGCCACTGTAATAATTTTTATTTCTAGGCTCTTATTGGTTATCAATCTAACGACAGCGTTGTTTGGAAATGTGGAGGTTCACTTATAAGTGAAAACTTTGTTCTCACCGCAGCACATTGCATGTTTCCACTGTAAGTGCAACACTTGTATACAGGGTGTCTAAAAAGGTCATGTCAAAAATGAAGGGGTAACAAGGGAGATCAAAATTGTTGTAGTACCTACATCATGTTTTTCCTATCCTATTTAAGTGGATAATTTCGTCTGCTCCTGTATAATCCAAGCATATTGAATATCAGTTTAAACTTGAAAATGTACATTACCATAAGTCACTTTAATTGCCCAAATTTCATTGTTGTCATGGTAACGACTTAGAAGTTATAATAGAAATTTGTTTTTCAACTTCATTCATTGAAGGCGAATAACCCCACAACGAAGCCCGATAGGATTTTTTTTTTATATAAAGTGCTACAATTCACATTTAATTACCAATGTACCTACGAAATTTTTAGGACCCCTCCGAAGTACGTAAGGCTCGGTTTCATAGATAAGCCAAACGCCGGACACACGCAACAACTAACTGTGAGTGAAATTATCCCCTTCCCCCAATTCAATAACACCAAATCCAAATACCACGACATAGGTCTTTTGAGACTCTCAAAAAAAGTTCGGTGTAACACGTACTTAAGACCAGCGTGCCTTCATACACAGAGATACATTCCCTATGATTTAGCCGTAGCCTCAGGATGGGGTATCGTTTCATTATTTGGGCGCGATAGAACCAAAGATGTATTGTCAGCAGTGATGGATGTGTTCGGTGTAGATAAATGTAATGAGACTTACAGACAGCATATTCCATCTACCGATACGTTGAAAGATGGATTCGTCGACGATTTGATGATTTGCGCCGGGACAAAGGCAATCGTAAGGACTACTTGCCAGGTAAGGTGGTAGTATACTCTTTCCGAAGTCAGTTGAGCATGTATAAAAACGCCTAGCAATAAGATGTAATGAATGTCATAGGCGTCCCTAAAAAAGTTCTCTGCTAAATGTAAAAAATAACAATAATTTATATATGTATAGTGTGTAGAAAATTTCTATTATATGTTCATTTGGCCAACAACATATTTTGATTATTTATGTCCTCAAACAATTTTATTATATTGTTGGTAAATTTTGGTTATGAAGTATCAAAAAATATTTACATTTTCATTAAAATATCTTGCTGCTCGAAAAGAACCAACGGGTACAGATAAAGTTGGTACTTAATTTTCTTTAAATAAATTATAAATTGTCAACCGAATTACAGGTGTGTTTCTACAGCAGCTTCAAACTGTTTTCAAACTACTCTGGCAATTAATACGTTCGTCTTTTTTTAATTATAGTACGACTTTGGAAACTTTCTTCAGATATATCACGAGGAAACTGAAGAAATCAAATGTATGTACGACATCGTAGGAATAACTGCATTTTCAGACAGGTGTTCTTCGGAAAACGTCCTAGAGGTGTATACTAGAGTATCGGCTTACATCAAATGGATAGAAGACATCGTTTGGCCGAACAATTAACTGCTTTCGATTTCATTTTATGTTTACCTGTCATGATATAGCACCTTATTAGTATTTAATTTTATAATGTTTGAATTTAGGAGAGTATATCCATTTGTATTATTTGCTTTCAATCTACAATTATAAATAATATGGAAGTTATAAACATATTCTTGCGTTCCCTGTTTTAAAAAAATGGGCTCTTTCCATTGTATGTTATTTTTCATATAATCTATAGCCTGGCATATACAGTGCTTTCGAAAAGTAACGAATAAATTCATTATTTTTTAAATTGAGATTTAAGTTTTCGAAAAAATCCCCTGGCACGTCGATTTTGTTTTTAAAAAAAAACTTTTTGACATACGACCCATATTTGTGACGTCATCGTTGTTCGAGGTATGACGTCATCGACATTTTTTTTAAATAGCAACCCCCAATTTTGACCATGCCATTTGAAAGAGCGTGTCATTCTACATACACATCGTGAAAAATTATGGTGTTACATAACAAAAATTTCAAGAAAATAATGTTTGAAGATTTTAAAATTTAATTTTCACAATACTGAAAATGGTAATGATTATGTAAAAATCGACTAAATTAAATGTTCAAATTGTGCACCGTTGGCTGCCTGACAGTAGCCAAGACGAATAATAAATTTTTACATAATCATCATTTTCAGTATTGTGAAAATTAAATTTTAAAATCTTCAAACATTATTTGATAGTATGTAGAATGACACGCTCTTTCAAATGGCATGGTCAAAATTGGGGGTTGCTATTTAAAAAAATTGTCGATGACGTCACATCTCGAACAACGATGACGTCACAAATATGGGTGGTATGTCAAAAAGTGCCTTTTTTAAAGACAAAATCGACGTGCCAGGGGATTTTTTCGAAAAATTCTCAATTTAAAAAAAATAATGAATCTATTCGTTACTTTTCGAAAGCACTGTATAAGTATAGGTAATGTAGTATTGGTAGCATTTTTTGTTATGCCTTGTTTATTGCACTTACACATAAATTATTATTGAAATTTTGTTAAAGATTTTAATTGGATTTTGTTAGTAGATTACACTATTTGAGTAAATAAATCTGGAATGTGATATAATATTACGATAAAAAAGTTTTGTGGTTTTACAATTCAAAACAAAGGAAATGCGTTTGATGGTTTCATAAAATTCCTGCCATTCGTTTCATTTCCTTAATGTATTCATGTAATCAGTCATTATCGTTTTTAATATGTAGTTCTCTAATAAGTATAATAAAATAATATTATTAAAAAAATGTTCCCATATCTCCTCTTTTTAACCACATAGATTACATAAAATGCAACACCCAATGTCTCTACGCTATCGATGCTAATACCACAGCATTGTTTTATTTGCTGTGCTAATACTGCAACTGCGTAAGTCAGCCCCACTAAGTTTAGTTTTCCGACAGCAGAATGTCAATCAGGTTTGGTTACAACGTGCTCGTATTTATTTCCGTTCTCTCCCTCGATTCCTTTGCCGCGTTATATGAAGGTGAGTGAGTCATTAACGTATGACTGTGGACTACTGTTCTTACATAAATAATAGCTTTGTTTCTGCAGTAAATTTCTGATAGTTCGCAAACTGCTTTTATTACACAGGCGCGGTTGTGGTCTATTTGTTAACGTTTGTGGATTTTGCGCTGCAAGAACGATTGTTTAGTTTGCGTGTAACATTTTACACGGAACTTTGAAATAAGTAACAAATTGATAACAGGGAGAAAATAGAAAGCCGTTAACCTCAAATCTGTCACTGATTATAGTTGGAGTAGTAGTGTTTTGGTTTTTGTAATCACAGGTTATGTAACTGGTTGTAACAATAATAAAAAAAGACACGAACAACGTCACTGATACCTTGCACATCACTTTGCCAAGAATCGTAAGGAAATATATTCTAAATTAATTTAAAAGTTGATAATGCGACCAATCTCAAATATAACAAGTTATCCCCAGGATGTCCTATTCATGGCTCATATATTTTGTATATAGGGGGTATTCTATTTTGCAACATACGAAGGATATTTCATTATTAGTTTGGCAGCGAATATACTTTTTGGAGTATCCATGAGACGTCCTCAGGATGGCACCTACTGTTAGTACTGTTGTCTTTCATCTGTATATCGTTTACCGCGCATGCGCCAGTCTGTTTAGTAGTGGTGGTCAATGAACACAATAATGTTGCCATGTCATATTGGTCCATCCATAGCGTTGTTTTTGGTTTTATGATGCCATTTTTATATCCAATGGTAGGGATTTTAATGAGGATGTTCGTTATTTCTGTTTAGTGTTGTTTATAAAAAATACGCAATTAATTTCTCCGTTTAGGAAATAAAATTTTAAAGTTTTGTTTTTATTTGCATATAATTGAGATATTTAAAACCGATTGTTAGCTCTTAGCCCAAACATTAAGTATCTCATGAAATTGAAAGAAAATTACTTATTTACAAATCACATAACCAATAATACACTTTTAAGGTAAATAATTCTTAATTTTAAGAAAAATCAAGTAGGTATTTATCTAATATAATTTCCAATTATTAAAAGTAAACCAATAAGGATGTCTCCATAATTACATAAACGTAGTGGCGGTTTTCCACTAAACGGATAGTTGAGTTTATGTCCTGTTTGTGTTTTCTAGAACCTGAAAAACAAAAACAAAACTGAAACAAACCCAAAACTCTTGTTTCCATCAAACGGGCTACATTTTGTTCGAGTTTTGTTTTTGTTTTCGGTCCTTTTCCACTGGTTGTCGCGAGGAAGTCAGAACACATTTTTCCAATAACCAACCAACATGTTTAGAGAACTTTTTTTTTATCCTTAGTTATGGCTGGTTTATATTGAAGTCCTTGGAAAATAAGTAAGTGTCTACAGTGTCCCACCATGATCTCCATCGATGGATATCCGGGAAACCACTCCAAGGATTTTTTTGAAATTGTGATGGTGTGATACGGACCGTGGGGTCCACCAAGTTAAAATATTTTCAAGGTCATCGTACTTCCGGTTATACCGGAAGTCGATACTAACTTTCTTATTTTAAATGGAACCCCCTGTATATTATTGCATTTTTGGAAACATCATCCATTTTTAAGTTGAAAACATATAGCACACTCCATACTTAGGATTGACCGTTTCCGAGATATTTCGATTTTTAAACAAAAATTGACAGATGCAGACTGTCAGCAAAATTTAGTTTTCCCGGTTTATTTTTTTGTGCAAATTGGACATTTTGTAGAGGAAGACCTACTTTATCGAATTTGACATGAAAATTTTCCAGTTTTTATACAGGGTGGTCAAAAATTTTTTATCGAATATGAAGTTCAGAATATGTGGAAAACTCGAAATTTTTAAATGGAAACCCCTAATTTTTTTGCAATAATATACAGGGGGTTCCATTTAAAATAAGAAAGTTAGTATCAACTTCCGGTATAACCGGAAATACGATGACCTTGAAAATATTTTAGCTTGGTAGGCTCCACAGTCCGTATCACGCCATCACAATTTCAAAAAAATCCTTCGAGCGGTTTCCCAGATATCCATCGATGGAGTTCGTGGTATATGTACGGTTAAAGTGTTTACTTGGTTAGTTTGTATCCTACCCAAGTAAACACTTAAACCGTACACATATTTATTTTTCAATAGCTATAATTCATTAATGATTAAAATATTGTTTTTGGGAAGAAGAAAACGCCAACATAGATATTGGGTTGGATCACTTAAATAGAAAACACAACACGATCGTTTCCACTAAACAGACTTGAGTTTCAAAACACGTCGAAATCTTTTGATGTGACCGCATTCGAGCGGGACCCGAAAAACAAAACTCCAACTGTCGCAAAACACGCCAGTCTTCAAAAAGTTTGCGAAAAATTACAGTTTTGTTTTATTCTACACAAGTTTGTATTTGATTTGTCCGTTTAGTGGAAAACCGCCTTAATACTTAATTGTTTACAAAAACATTCATTTCGGAAATATAAATTTAAATTCCTGTGCGATTTTTATGCGATTTGGAGTATCAGACAACTTGTATTCCCGAAATTAATGCGCGTGTCTCGAATTCGCAGTCCACAGAGAAATCTCCAACCAATATGATCGTCAGCAAACGGTTTGGTAACAGTTTGAAAATCGTACACGAACATGAAATTCTCGGTCACAGTTTGAGATTTGTTCTGCAATAACGATAATTTCAGAATGTACATGCATCGGACAATCAGAAACCGTTGCAGACTGTTGCAGAAACAAACCTAATGTATTAACAGATTGTTGAAGGTATAGATCAAACTGGATATTATCATATGTTTATTCTTCAGGAGACAAATGTTCTTTGCAAGATGGCAGCGAAGGCAAGTGCAAGCTTCTAAAGGAATGTCCGACTGCTATGCAACTGATACAGACAGGGGTTAATCCGATCATTTGTAGATTTGAGAAACTTGAAGCTATTGTGTGTTGCAAAGATGGTGAAGAGGTGATGAATACGACTAGTACCACCACTATAACTGATAGAATTAGCAGTAACAGAAAACCAGGAAAAATAAGCAAGCAAAGTAAAGTTTCAATTTAATCCTGTTAAAACGCAGTTGACTTAGATTTTATTTTTAATATACAGGGTGATCCATTAACGATACGGAGCGGCTACTATGGGGTAAAAAATCTATCAACAAATACGACCAAAAGAAATTGATTTAAAATATTTTCAAGTTAGTAACTTTACCGTTAGAGGACGCAACTGTTATAGTGTTACAGAAAATTGTCGTTTTTTCTAAATTTCCCTTATTAAGGGGCGGATCTCAAAGGAAGTAACTCCGAAAGAGGGGGTCAAAAAAATAAAAAATACGGGTCCCTTAAATTTGTATTAAGAATCTATGACCAAATTTTGTTGCATTAATTTCGGGACACCCTGTATATGGCAAGGCATTTATTTCAACTTAATCTTTTGTTTCCTAAAATACAACATTATTTTCAGAATGCGAAGAATACGCAGAGTATGCCTACGAAAAGATCTATTCTCCCACGCTATTGCTAAAACCGCAATTTACAAAAAAATTTGTGTGTGTAATTCAGAGATTTAAATTGGATGTGGGAAATACTTTAGTATCGAGAGCGGAATTTCCTCATATGGTAGGCATGTTACTATTTATTACTTTTGTCGTCGATATAAATATGTTCATTATCACGACCATTGATTGCACAGCCACACAGAGAAAAAAAAGTTGGGTATACTTTTTATGCGACATATATTTTTTGTAGTAATTTGGCCTCCTGAACACGAATCTGGGGTCAGAATTGGCCCACACGTCACAATTTTTTCCTAACCTCAAAAAACTTGTGAAAAATAGTGAAAATTGATGAAAATTTACTGGGAAAATTTGGAAAAAAATTTATTTCCACATCAAATAGTACATTTTTATGTAAAAGACTCTGCTGAATTCAAATCCTCTGTCAGAATTGAGCTAGAACGTGTGGTTTTTTTTCTAACCTCAAAAAACCGAGCAGGAATCGCTATTTTCAAATTCTGAGCGGATTTTGACCAGATTTTGTATAAAGGGGTTTTTTGGGTCGCTGATTACAAATATGAATTCACATTGTAAAAATTCAAGATGGCTGATCCAATATGGCGGATGTACTTTTTTGAAATCCACCTATTTCAGTAAAATTTGGCAAGTTTTTAATAAAAAAAATGTATGTTACAATTTTTGTTAAGCACTTTGTTGTGAATTTCCGTCAGAGACAATCTTTGACTTAGTTTAGGAGAAATATCCTCAAATAAGATAAGCAATTGTACGCTGCCAGTTGATAAAAGTTTATACAAGGACGTATTTATTAAAGTTCAAACAGATATTATTAAAACATTATAAAAAAAATAAAACATGTCTTTACTGTTTTCTCTTATACAGCTAAATCAACAAAACAACATACAGCTGTGACAAAATTAAACCGAGAATAATACGCACGAAATGAAAACTTTTATACGCTGTGAAGTGGGGCCTTGTATGAAAGCGTCTTTAATTATTTCATACTTCCAGTCCATGGTTTTCTTATTTGTTCATTCCACGATATTTCGATTAGCAATCTACAATTGTCATAAGGTGAATAATATTTGTAGACTGTTTTTATAACGAGCGTTCAAATAATAACGTGGTCGAAGTTGGCTCTGACACATTGGACGTAGGGAGTAGCTTATAGCGACCAACTTAACCTCATTTCTCAACGAGCTGTATAGCAGCTGTCAGTTTCAATAACGTTAATGACTATATAACTTTATTTTAAAGAATAATCGTGATAACAATAACAAACAATTAAAGGAGCTGCGGAAAGTGTCCCCCTCCTTGTTATAACAATAAATTAAAGCAGCTGCTGAAAGTGTCCCCCTCCTTGTTCCAAGCACTTTTCACACCTGTTCCTCAAAGAATTAAAGACATTTT